CTGTATTTCAAAACTATATCTGTCTGCGTGACCTTAATCTCGTTATGATACATTGTATTCCCTTTCTGGACGTCTTCTCTTTCCGACGACTGGCGATGGGCAACTATAACCAGAGCAGAGTGAATGTTATTGCTTCGTTCGGGGAGGGTGGGCGTTAAAAGAGGGAACCCTGTGAAATTGACGCGAGTAATCGAACGATATCTTCTGAGGAAAACGATAAGATTTATCACGATCGTGTTTCGTGAGGCAAGATTCAAGGTCACTTCCCTCTCCTTATAACGATGTCTAACTTAAGCCGTGATTTAAGACAATCATGGACCTCTATATTTCTTTATCGAAGTAAATGGGATGTTCCTCCGCAGAAAGATAGAAGCCCTCTTTAAGCTGTTCACAAAACCAACATTAAGATAGATGTTGGCCTAAACTAATTAGTGGTCTAGACAAAGGGGGTAAGTTTCGAAAGAAACTGTGGCACTGGGTCGATGGGGGAAATAAGGTAATCGGGTTTTCAACTAAGTTGATAATCACGGTAAATTAGCCAACGTAAAGAGTTTAAAAGCTGACGTTTCGAAAGTTAGCCCTTCGTCAGAGCGAAGCGTTTAGAACTCGGGTTGGCAACATTTTAGTGTAGCCCTCAACTCCATTCGGCGCATTGTTATCAGAATACTAAGAGAGCAACTTTGGAACGAATGCTTTGTTGTGGAGTAGTGTAGGGTATATGAAAATCAGGTTTACTATTAAGGGCTGAACTTTGTTGTATATGCCGATCCTTAGTTTGTCAGACGACAATAACGCGAAGAAAAATTTTTTTTTTGGTCGAGTTTCTTTACCAATCTTGGATAAAGTGTTCTAAAATGTTGGCAAGCAGTTGATAATGCCTGCTTTTTTGCAGGTCCCAAATTTTCTCTTGCGATTTCTCGAAGTAAAAGGAATATTTCATTTATGCCATTTTTCTCTTGCCCCCGATAATTACGATGAATCTTCACTTGCAAGTTCTTCCCCACAAGGCGAGAGGCAAAACCGTCCCACCAGATTTCAGATAAATATTCAGTCACAACATAAAGATGACGTAGAGAAAATATATGGTCGTCGCTCTATACTTAACATTAAAGCCGAATTTGTCTCAAAGCCCACAAAAGTGTCTGTAGCTTAAAGCTAAGCGCAGGAGAACGAAACTTCGTGACTTACATGAATTCAGAGAAGACCAAGATTCCGTTTCTTCATGGCTTGTTTGAGTTGACTCGGCCACGTGCAAGAATCGATACTTCAAAAAAACCAATATGTAAGACCAACAGACAATCTAGTTTCAACTGTCAGAAGTTATGACTGTCTATGACATCTTCAGCCATCATTTGTTTACGAAAAAAACCGTAACTGAAGGCCAGTTGCTAGTAACCAAACAGACAAACGAAGTTCTGCGCTCCACGGCAACTCATTAAGATGAATACCAAATGAGGGTGACAATATTTGCAATGTAAATCAAACAGTTGGTGGACTTCACAACGAGTCAAAATGATTAGCAGGGGTCGGACGAAAAAGGTGTGTTTTCTGATGGTGACACTTTCTGCTGAGAATTCGAATTCCTTTGTATGTGTACAGATGTTCATAATGTCATTTGAAAGCAAATTCTTTGGTGGGAGACGAATTCACTTTTGCAGGTCTGGTTTGTGCCACGGCCTTGTTCCTCTTTCATTTGCCACTTAGTTCAAGTTAACACTGAGCTAGACATTTCAACGCGACGTCCGAATCAGTTATCTTAACGTAGATATAAAAAGGAAAAAATCNTTCCAAGGCAAATTGCTATACTACTGCATGGGTTTAATTTCTGCTTATATTTTCTTAGTGAGAGCAATTTTCAATTAACTCTGAAAGTAATATTATCAGAGATGCAATGGATTTGCTTCCCTGTGGTTGAATTAGATTCTCAACCAATCAGATGCGAAAGCATCACCAATCGCGACTTAGTCTCTGGAGTTTTCCCCAGTCCCACTCCATATGCAAGTGAAATGTGACATGAAGGGCACATGAAACGCACTCGAAATGCATTTGAAAACTTGCGCATAAACATCAAACCTTCGACGGCAATTCATGGCTGCAAACGCACGACCCAAATTTAAATTAACTGAGGCCTCTAACAGGTACAAACGTCAAAGGATGGAGGTGAACAAGTAAGAAGTAAGTCTTAAACGGACAGGGGTCAACAGTCGCCTCGCACGTCAGTACTGAATAATTATGTGGGAGGTTCAAATTGATCTTGCCGTTTCAATCCTCTAATCTTAAGACACTTGCATCAAATCAGTTGATGGTAAGTAACATTTTCAAACCTTGGTACCAAAACTACCGCCCCTTCACCCATTCACTCTCTGCAATGTTGGTAAAGAGGCCCTAACTTCTTGTTTTATCTTTCAGTCGTAAAAGACCACAGTAGCTAAATTTTTCTAAAACACGACTTTAAAGTTCCCCAAAGAAGTAAACAAGATCCAACATATTGTACCAAAGTAATTTTTATTAGAAAATCTCACAACTCCAACATTGACTAATTCAGTGCAAGTGAAATTAACTCTGGCAGCAAAGTCTCTAAATTTTAAACTAACCAATATACAACCTATTAAAGGTAATTTAAACAGAAAATTTAGACTATCTTCACAGCTTTGTTAATTTGTTTAGACAATAGTATCATTTAATATAAGACTGATGGTGATTGGTGAAAGAGCATCACTATTTCTGCCTTACCTAACAGTAACTGAGTTACATGGAAGACCTAATATGAAAAGAGTGATTTTCCAATGAAGGTATATAATTGTCAAATTTGATTAAAACTCAACATTCAAGTGGCACTGGTTTCAGTCAAGGTTGCAAAATATTCCAGTATCAAAAATCAATATTTTTTTCTTAAACTCTTGAGTGTCATTAAGCAGATTGATGTTGATACAGTCAATGTAGTTCATCATTGCATATATTCGCCAATTTTATAACATAACAAATGTAGCTATACAAAAATCTCAAGCATTAGCAGGTGATAAAACTAAACAACATGAACATCCATATATGTGTAATAACTACTTTGCTGTGTACAGGTGTATTAACACACTGCTATAACAAATATAAATTTAACATTTCTTTACTTAGTATTAACACTTGACAAATATAACGAATTTGGACTGAATCAGAGAGCTCACTTAAGTTCTGAAAAAGTGAAACTTAAAAAGGTTGGCAATTTTATTGCAAGTGCACTTTTCTTAAAACAAGTTTCATGAATGTTAGTTTCATCTGCAAAACTGATGGCACAGCCACCACAATCTCATTAGAGGTAGCTTCAAGAAAATGGTAAGTGTAAGAGTTTACCTGTACACTGAAACAGTGCATAACTTTATATTGTACTAAGCAATATACACACATGTTTGAAAACATTCAGGTGTTCATATTACAAAGCTAAACTATATCAAGAAGTACCAACACCCAGCACACATTGTTGCTAAACTGCATGGCATAACAACAAAGTTTAACTACAACAGGCATTCTTTTTTGGCTTTCCAGTAAAGTTAAGAGGGAAAAGGAAAGGGTTCACTAAAAGAACAGGTAACAAATTTTCACAAGAAACTCTTGACCTGTGCTTCCTTGCTGAGTTCTTTGTGATAGTTATATCTGAAGAAATACAAGACCCAGTTGTTCAAAGGGCAAATAACCCTATCCAACAGATAAATTGTTATCCAGCAGTTATAGGTGTAAACAATCCTTGCTGTGCCACCCACCAGACAGAGATTTATCCAGTGGGGAGAGTTATCCACAATTCCAACAACCAGCACCAGATCCATGACTCTTGTATCTTTTCTTTACATATACACATCAATTCTTGCATGGAAAAGTTCTGTACATGTACATCACCACTAATCTTTGGAGACTAGTGCTTGGTTTTAGGATCATTTGTTGTTCTATTTATATGTCATCACCAGATGAAAATTTTTTATTTTTACAGTTTGGATTTTACTTACAAAATCAATATTTTCCACCATCTAGAAAGAAAAACAGAAAGAAAATCAATAACAAACTGCCTTTGCAGTTTTTAAACAATAATGACGAGGAAAAGAAGATTGCAACTTTCTAAAAAAGAAAAAAAAAACTATGTGGTAGGCAAACTCACCAATTTAAACTTTGATAAGTTCAACTTGGTGTTCAAGACCTTGCCTTTCCTCAATTTCTCTTTGCACAACTGGATCTGGTTTCAGGCAGATAAAAAGTCTCTGTGGAATGTAAAACATGTATTCTAATGTTAAAAATCTCCCTCCATGTTTAAATATATGGCACATATTTTCATACTTGAAAACAAAGGGAAATTTCAATGAAAGACTAACAATATATGATTTCAGATCCCAAAGCACCAACTTTAAATTAAAGTTTCCCTTGGAGCTGTGATGTTTTACTTACCTCCATAAACGTGCCAGGTGTTTTATATAAGTTGTATATTGCCACTCCAGGAATGAAAAGCATTGAGGACAGGGCAATAAGCCATCCAATAAATTCTGCCCATTGTGGATACTTGTAGTCCCCATAGGAGATGCCACCCCATTGGGATACACTGAACAAGAAGATTCCTGCCATGATGATAGGTGCACAGAACCTCCAGCAAAACCACCACCAAGCTCCTGGACGACGACCAATCATTTTCTCAATGTCAAGAGAAAATCTGTCTGTGCCATAAATCCAGGCCAGGGTTACAGTTTCAAAGAAACCCAAGAACAGAAGAGACACACCTCCCGACTGGTAGTCAAATAAGTTCAACACATATGCTCCCCCCTGTGTGACACAAGGCAAGCCAAGGAGGAAGCACAGAATGCAAGCCACTAAGATGAACAATTCTTTGTGTTTTCTCATGATGCGGTACTCATCAACAACTCCTGTAATTACTGCTTCCATCATACCAAACTGACAGATAAAAGAAAGAAACAATCTTTTCATAGTGCAAAACTACACATCAGATGAGGGAATGGTCTTAAAAATGAATCGTACAAATGTGCACCCAACATCAGCAGCTTCAAAGCTGGGGGACACATTACACCAGGACTGCAGATGACACGTCCAAGTCCTTGATTAGTCCTAGCTTTTTTCACCTCAGAGACATTTAGGTAAATCCTTTCTACTCTTTACAAGCATAAGCACAGTTTAAATTCTAACCACATTTTGTATTCATGTTCACTTTAATGTTGTTGTTGTTTTTTTTTACCTTTCCATATACTTTTTTCCTTCTTTAAGCTCATCTACATTTTTATTAAGCATGATGAGAAAAGAAATCTTGATTCACTGAAAGTGACCCCACCTGACTGTCCAGGCCCAGAGTAAGTAGCATGAAGAAGAACAGAATGGCCCAAAGAGGTGAAATCGGCATCTGAGCAATAGCTTCTGGATAAACCACAAAGGCCAGACCAGGACCTTACAGAAAGAAAATAAAACATGTATGTTTAGCTTGTTTCCCTTGATGGATAAAGCAGGTTACTAGGTAGGCAAGACTAAAGTCCTGATGTGGACCTGCTAACTAATTTAAAACTTTACACTTAATTAAGAAATAGAAATATGTACATATGTACATCTTCCAACTGGACTCTGAATTTTGACTTTTAGGGGGGGGGAGGGACAACAACTCATATTTACCAGAAAAATCCCATTAGGAAAAAAATATTGCACTATCAGACATAACCTTGCTATATTTGTACACCAAATTGTGAACAGAAAATTACTTCCTACAAGTCAGTTTACAAAGTAATAAAAACCACTCAACTAGCAATTTCAGAAAAGTTTAGAAACCCGCCCAATGAAAGACTGTCACTACTATCGACTGCTGAAATGTTTAGTTTTTCAGATAACACTTAAAGTGCACTTACACCCAAAAATTTTTTTCGCTTCACGATGTAAGCTTATTTTTTTGAGTATTTCTGCGCAAAAATTTTTTATTTGCTCAAATCTTCAATTTTCTATGCCCAGTCACAATACGGAAAATCGTCCGCCATCTTGCCCCACGACCGAGTTTAAAGAGGAATGGCTCTAGTGGGTAATGTGACGTCAAATCGAGAACACGAAAGTCTGCATTTCACACATTTTCACTTGTTTGGGAAGGTTGTAGTCGATAATTGTCCGAAAATATGCCGACTAAGTGTGTTGTAGAAGGATGTAGCAACGTGCGAAATTTGCAAGAGGGTATCGCGCTTCATACATTCTTCATACAACACACCTAGTCGGCATATTTCGGACAATATCGACGACAATCTTCCCAAACAAGTGAAAATGTGTGAGATGCAGACTTTCGTGTTCTCGATTTGACGTCACATTACCCGCTAGAGCCATTCTTCTTTAAACTCGGTCGTGGGGCAAGATGGCGGCCGATTTTCCGTATTTTGACTGGGCATAGAAAATTGAAGATTTGAGCAAATAAAAAAATTTTTGCGCAGAAATACTCAAAAAAATAAGCTTACTTCGTTAAGCGAAAAAAATTTTTTGGGTGTAGGTGCACTTTAACTATAACA